TTTTAAGGGTTGTATGTTGTTTAAAGGGTTGTATGTTATTTTAAGGGTTGTATGTTGTTTAAAGGGTTGTATGTTGTTTTAAGGGTTGTATGTGCCCTTTTTTTGTAGTGGAAGTTATGTAGTTGAGTGTAAAAAGTGTTTCATTTGTATTATATTATTAAAAAAACAGGGTAGTTCTATTAAAGATTACCAAGGTGATTGTGAATTTATCAGATGAACACTGTTGTGCTGCAGATGGTTGTAAGACTCACGTGACAGGGTATTTCACTTTTTCATAGCAACTGACGTGAATACTGCAGTGTAATTGATTTGCTAGCCAGCTGTGCCTGCTTTTGAGGACCCCATAGTCACTATAATCTTTAAGCCAAATCACTAAAAATCAAGTTCTTATAGGAGGAAAATAATACAGGAGTGTGTGCATCTGCAGGCACATGCAGAGTGACCTCTCGAAAGGTTTTAAAATTTCTTCAAGTACACAAATGTTATTATCTCACAAGTACAGAATATGACTGACCATATCTTTAAGCATTTAAATATAAATTTTAATTTCTTAGGCCTGTTATTTGAAAAATTAATTTGATTAGATTTGAATGTAGACCAGCTTTTTACTGATTGATAAGTTTATTGGATCAAGACTCAGAAACACTTCACTTTTAAAATTTATTCAGAATATGACTGAAGGTACCACTTAAAATGCTCCATAATATATTTTCATTAGTCTTCACTGGGCCTTGTGAAAAAAATGTTTTTAGCTTTTTTAAGATTTATAGTGTTTACATCCATGAGAAACTGTGCCAAATAAAAATGTGTCATAAAGGGGAATCCATGCAACATTCATGCACATACCAAGAAAGTAAAAAGGATCCATTTCTAAATTTGGTATGTTTTGTCTGAATTTGAATTAATTAATCTGTGCAATCGTGTTTTATATTTATAAGTACTTGACTCACTGGCCACTTTTAAACTATAAGTTTCATTTTAAAAGGTTCTCACTTTAGTGTCATTTGTTCACTTACTGGTAACATCAGAACAAGAAATTAAAAATCTGTAGGCACAGAAAGAATGTATCTTTTGGTAACTATAAAACCCATTTACAGTTAAAAATTGATTTATTGGGTAAAAAACTAAAGTGTCTATTACCTTTGCTTTTATATTTTTTTCTTTCAAAGGAACATGAAAAAAGTAAATATAAAAAAATATAGTGGATTTTTGGTGGTGTTCTAAGTTCAGCAGTCTGCTGGTTGCTTAATTGTGAAACTGTGAAACCTAATTGATAACTTTTATTATTTTAGTTCATAGCATTACTGTTCTATGAAATGTGATATGTTAGGAACCAATATAATAGCACTCTAGGAAGGTAATTAATATGCCTTTAAATTCTGAGGGGAATGAGGGGAGGATATTTCTAACTAAATCAACACTGGAGCAGTATGTAGTATTATGAAATGTTACAGTAATATGTTAAAAATAATAAAATGTTATTTTACAATGGCATATGCATACAAATGTGTCTGTTTGATTTTTTTTTCTCACTTATGATTGTATATTCCCAACAGGTAGCAAAGACAGATGCTATTATTGGTTAACTTTCCAACTACTTTATAAAACCAACAAAGTAGATAAAATGGAAACGTTAAGAAGTACTTAAACTAGACAGAAAAGAGTACTTAAACTAGACCAAAAGAGAGGGGGAAAAGGAGCAAATAGCAGGATGGTAGATCTAAACTCATCTGCTTCAGTAATCACAGTAATTGCTTTTTTTTTTATATTTTTGAGACAGGGTCTCACCATGAATTCAGGCTGGCCTTGAACTCACTTTGTATCCCAGGCTGGTGTCGAACTTGCTGCAGTCCTCCTGCCTCAGCCTCCAAAGTACTGGGATTACAGGCGTGTATCACCATGCCTGGCTAGTAATTGCCTTTTAACTAGTGTGTTTAAGTCACTAACAGACTGTCAAAAAAAGAGACAAGCTCCATAGGGTAGCTCTGTTCTCAGCTTTCTGAGAAACTTTCATACTGTTCTCTATAGTAATTCCAGTCCCAACAGTCTCTCTTCCATATCCTTACCAGCATTTATTTCTTGTCTTTTTGATAACAGCCATTCTAACTGACATGAGATTATTTCTCACTGTAGTTTTGATTTGCATTGCCCTGAAGGTTAATGATGCTGAGCCCACATCTACAGGCCATGGAAAGAGAAGCACACCAAAGGGATACTTGCATTCCTGTGTTTACTACCGCACTGATCACAGTGGCTAGGGTGTGGAATCAGTGCTTTGCTCTTGAGCTTAGTTATGGGAACAGGTAAGTTGCTGGGAAAAAAATGGTTTGCTTTTAAACTTGCAAGGCAGTTCAGTACAGCCTTTATTTTATTCCTGAGGCCACTCCTTTCTGAGTACTCTTATACCAGTTGAACTGATGGAACCCAAAATATTTCTGGCCATGTGTAAGCTCTAAAACAGTTGCTTTCCCTTATCCCTTGGAGGTGGGAGGAGGGGGTTCTTCTGATGGCCTGGGGTAGTGGTCACATGAGGTAAAAGACTCAGCTGAAGATTCCAGGGGAACCTCTGCAGCACTCTGTGTGGCCCTGTTAACTTGAGTATCCTCTTTAGTGAATCCTGCTTGTCCTAACCCAGCCTTAGAACTCTCCCAACTCAGGACTTCAGGCTCTCCCAGGGTTTTTCTTCCTACCCTGCAGTCTTGAAGTTTCCTTGGAAGTGAAGTGGAGCTCACATAGCTGCCCAACAAATTTGTTTCCTCTGTTTCACAAGTTACACTGATGCCTCCTGTTTGTTTCATGTTTTGTCTGGTGTTGTACTTGTTTCAGGATAGTACTACCTTTTGGCCAGAAGCAGATGATAGCATACCAATCCATATATTCTTTTAAAAGTTTTTTTTCAGCTGGGTGTGGTGCATGCCTGTAATCTCAGCACTCAGGAGGCTGAGGCAGGAGGATCAGTTGGGGTTCAAGACCAACCTGGGCTACATAGTGAGACACTGTCTAAAAACAAAAGCAAAAACCTTGTTTTTCCATTTTTATTTTTATTACTACAAGTTTGTAATACGTAATAATCACATTTACCATGGGGAGTTTGTACCTAATATCTCAATTATCTCCTCCACCACCCTCCATAATAAAAAAAACTGTTGAATGTGGGCTATGATCCTTTTCATCATATCTAATATTATTTTCTTCTGCCTTTTTTTTTAACCTCAATGATTTCCTAAATTCCTAAGTTCTATTGATCCTCTATCTTATTTTAAATTTTTGCCTTTAATTTTATAATTACCAATCTTTTACTCTCTCTCTGTCTCTGTCTCTCTCTGGATTTTTTCTATAGTTAGATGTTTACAATGTTCTATATCTTCTCTTAGAAAAGGACTTGTGAGGCTACCCATTGACATTTATGATTAAAAGATGCTAAAAACAGGATAATGTAAAATGTTTTAGGACTTACTCAAGTTTGAAGACCATTGAGACTTACCATTTTGCTTTTTCTAATAGTTTTGCCTTTTTTAAAACTGCTTTTACAATTACTGTTTTAATACTTTTTCATTTTAGTAACGTTCTGGAATTCACAGAACGCTTCACAGAATGCTTGGCTTATTCAACCTTTTTTTAAACCTGTTTCACCTACTTGCAGGCATTGAGAAAAATAACCAAGGGGCTGTGCGGTTGCCAAACACTGTAGAACTTAGGCTGAGCATTGGTTTTGATCTAAAGGGCCCTTAGTGGTGTGGTTCAGCCTCGTATCTATGACATGCGCAGAGTGCTCGGTAGCATTGTTTGCAGGAACCCAAACTCCAGATGTGCAGGTAAACTGGCATATTTATACAGCGAAGTATTGTTCAACAACAAAAATGTATAGACACTATTTGTGGATGGCTCTCACAACATAATGTTAAGGGTCAATAAAAGTGCATACCATGAGTCCATTTATGTAAAGTCCATAAACAGACAAAATTAATCTATGGAACTGAAACAACCATGGTTACTTTTGGGAAGTAATGAGAACATACTAACTTCTGACGTTCAGCTGATGATCTACATCATGCCCTGAGTAGTGGCTACACAGGTGTCTTCCCCGTGCAGAAATCTATCCAGGTATACTTTCTGTACACTTCTTAAATGGATGTTATACTTCAATAAAAGTTCACCAAAAAATAAAGACGTTGTGTTTATTACCAAAAGAAAACCATGGCAGATATCCTGAAAGAGTGTTTTACGTATATTTTACTGTGGCTGATAATATGATGGTGTTCACACGAACACCTGGTCACTTAGAGTATCATTTAGCTTTAGCCTGTGCGGCCGCTGCAGCTTCCTCGCGCCATTTAGCTTTCTTGGCCAGGTTCCAGCTTGTTAAGGATTCATGCCGTTCTGTAGCCTGCAAAAGAGCGAGAACGAAAGAGAAAAGGATTGTGACCTTCTAGAAGAACTTGTATTTTAGTTGAGCATGTTAAAGAAATTCTGAGAAAAGTAATTTAAAACATCTATTACAAATAGTATCCAAGAAAAATGGTTCTTTGGTATGGAAAAAAAATTCCTACACTAGTTAACAGGATAGCAGATGTAAGAACTACTACCATGTAGACATGTTTGTTGGATGCAGTGTAACAAAACAGTTTCAAGTATTTAATCCTGAAACAAGAAAGGGAAATAAATCTTCAGGTATCAGAAGTGAAAGTAACTTAGGGAAGGAACCGGTGGGAATGGGAGACTCCAGTCAGGGTGGGAGGAAATGGTTTCAGTTGGGGGACTGCGAAAAATAGTAGCCTTAACAGCTATGAGCTACAAGTTTGTTTTGTTTTTTTTTGTTTTGTTTTGTTTTTCCCTGGTACCGGGAATTGAACTCATGACTTTGCGCTTGACAGGCAGGCGCTGTGCCACTGAGCTAAATCCCCAGCCCCTGGGTTACAAGTTTAATTCCTATATAGAGGTGAGTGTAGGATTTGGATCTTTATGGGGTTGAACTTCTAGGAAGCTGAAGGAGTCAGGAAGGCATGAAATGCCTTAAAACTACTATCACCAGCCTTCAAGGAAAGTAGGCATTTATTTGGAGGGAAAAACCTATTGTCTGGCTTTTGTGTTGTAAATGAGATAATATACCAACCATGAAAAAATTTCTGAGGGGCTGGGGATTTAGCTCAGCGGCAAAGCGCCTGCCTGGCAAGCGCAAGGTCGTGAGTTCGGTTCCCGGTACCGGAGAAAAACCAAAAAAAAAAAAAAAAAAAAAAAGAAAAAATTTCTGGAACCTAGAAAATCCTAGGGTTGGCAGGCATTTACATAGGGTAAGTTAAAAAAGATGATTGAAGGTCTTTATTTTACATGTTTGTTCAGGTCAACAAGCATTTTAAAAAGTGTGTGTTGAATGAGAATAATTTTAAAGGATGAATTACTTTCCAAGCTAACAGGAGCAAAAACATTTATGTGCTAAGTTTGTGGGTTATCATCTTGGTATGAGATTAGTGGGCTCAGAGTCACTGGGGAACCTGAGGAATGCTGAACACTACAATCACAGGACTAACTGCTGGGCTGGGCATTTAGCTCAGCAGCACAGTGCCTGCCTGGCAAGCGCAAGGTCGTGAGTTCAATTCCAGGTACTGGAAAAAAACAACAGAACAAAACAAAAAATTAGCTAACTGCCAGAGAGTGAAGGTTAGGGACCCAAGCAACTCTTCAGTGTGATGTGGCTGCTACTGAAATGCACTGATCACTACTGAAGAAGTTTGGCTGTAGTGGGGTCAGCTGCACTAGTGGGGTCAGCCGACATAATGAAGAGGGATGTGGTAAGCTAGAGCGTATACAGAGAGTTCTGACATGGAGGGTGTCAAAGACAAGATGGGAAAACAGGGATGAGTTCCCTATCTCCCAGTACTAGGGTGGGAGCGGCTGTTCTTGGTGATAAAAAGTGACCAGCAGGTGGAAGATTTGGGGAAACAGAGAACAAAATTGAAAATTGTCATCCTCTGCTCTCTCCCAAGAGGTATCAAACAGAAACCATGCGTTAGAGATAGCTGAAGGGTTCGTGTACAGGGAAGAACTACTTATTAATTTCATGCAATGACTGGCCGAGTTGATCATCTAAGGAACGATATAGTCTGGATAACTTTCATGCAACAAAGCTCTCCTTGTGAAGATTTTAACCAGATTAAGGGGCTGGGGATTTAGCTCAGTGGCAAAAGCGCCTGCCTGGCAAGCGCAAGGTTGTGAGTTTGGTTCCCGGTACCGAAGAAAAACCAAAAAAAAAAAAAAAAAAAAAACCAGGTTAAAACTGCACTGTTTTTGTCTGTTTTGTGAGTAGAAAAAAGCATTTGTCTCTCTTGGCCACGGAGTTAATTTAATTCAGATTTCCTTGAATATGAGTGTTTCAGGGAAATTTGTTCTAACTTTAAATTGAGAACAAAGTCCATAACAGTTCTTAAAACTTTGTAAGTCCTCTCTCTCCCTCTTTTCTTATTTCAGTGCTGCAGATGGAACCCCAGAGGCTCATGCATGTTAGGCATCCCCAGTAACCAGTCTGCCTGTGTGCTGAGGAGGGACTTACCTTTTTGGCTGATGCTATCACCACAAAGCAGGCAATAACTGTGAGTCCAATCATTACATAGCAGAGTTTCACCCGCGCTTTGTTTCTTGCAGCATCTATCATTTCAGGCCTAAATCAAGATAGAATTTTGTTATATCAAAGTAATATGGTTTGCTGACCATATGATACGGTCAGGTATGATAAATGATTTGTTATGTGTTATTACAAAAATTTCCAGAACAAACAGTAGATGTGAAAGACTTCCAAGTCTTATCCATTTCAAATTAACATATTTAGCCACCATGAAACCACAGTATAGAATATTTAGTTTCTAACTAGTGTAGAGATTGTGAGCTATGTTTTTTTATATACTGATTAGGATAAGTGTTAAAATCTATGTTTATAAGTCATATTAACTTAATCTCTGCTGTGTTCAATACATTTTGTTTCCTTTTTTTTTTTTTTTTTTTTTGAGACAGGTTCTTACTATGTAGCCCAAGCTGCCCTCACACTTGCAGCGATCCTTTGTTTTCTATTTTGAACAGACATTTTTAAAAACTCAATATCAATTCTTTTTCCCCACTGACCTCCTAGTTTCTCCTTGCTCTCCCCTGCTATTTCCAAAAATCAACTGTTTTCTTCATGGCTTTTGCAGGAACTTTAAAAGAAATGATAAAAATCACAGCAATTTGTTGAAGAAAATGGGAAAGAGGGAAATTTATAGCAGTTAACACCCATATCAGGGAAATAGAACAAGCACAAACAAACAACTTAATATTGAACCTCAAACATCTAGAAAAGGAAAAGAAGACCAAGCCAAAAGCTCATAGGAGGGAAGAAATTATAAAGATAAGTGAAGAAATTAACGCATTGGAGACTAAAATAGATAAGAAGAATCATTGAATCAAAGAGTTGGTTCTTTGAAAGATTAAATAAAATCGAGAAATCCTTAGCCAATCTATCAAAAAAAGGAAAGAAAAAACTCAAATCTATGCAATTAGAATGAAAAGGGTAAAGTCACAACGGACCCTGGAGAAATCCAGATGATTGTCTACACCTACTTTGAAAACTTGTATTCTAGTAAGATGAAAAATGCAGAAAAAATGGACAGATCCCTAGATATAAATGAATTACCAAAGTTGAATTGAGAAGATATAAAAACCCTAAATAAAATAATATCAATCAACAAAATCAAAGATGTAATTGAAAACCTACCAACAAAGAAAAGCCCAGGCCCTGACGGTTTCATTACTAAATTCTACAAGAAATTTAGAGAAGACTTAACACTGATACTGCTCAAACTCTTTAATGAAACTGAAAGGGAAGCAGTACTCCCAAATTCATTCCTAGAAACAAGCATCACCCTCATACCAAAACCGGAGAAGGACCCAACCAAGAAACATAGATGCAAAAATCCTCAATAAGATACTGGCAAACAAAATACAGCAAATGATCAAGAAGATTATACATCATGACCAAGTGGGATTCATACCAGGGATCCAGGGATGGTTCAACATACGTAAATCAATAAATGTAACACACCACATTAAAAGAGCCAAAGAAAACCATATGATCATCTCAATAGATGCAGAAAAAGCTTTTGACAAAGTCCAGCTCCCATTCATGATTAAAAACCTTGCAGAAAATTAGAATAGGTGGTCTTTATCTCAATTTAATAAAAGCCATTTATTATGAACCAACAGTCAACATCATACTAAATGGACAAAAACTGAAAGCTTTCACTCTAAAATCAGGAAGACAAGGATGTCCACTGTCTTTACTCTTATTCAACATAGTCCTGGAAACTTTAGCCAGAGCAATTAGACAAGAGAAAGAAATAAAAGGAATAATGATAGGAAAGGAAGGAGTGAAATTATCACTACTTACAGACAACATGATACTCCACATACAAAATGCCAAAAACTCCACTAGAAAACTGCTAGATTTAATAAGCAAGTTCAGTAGCATAGTTAGGGATACAAAGTCAACACTCAGTAATCAACAGCCGTCCTACACACAAATAACAAACTAAGAGAGAAATTAAGGAAACAACACCTTTCACAATAGCATCCAAAAAAAAAAAAAAAAAAAAAAAAAAGAAATACCTTAGAATAAATCTAAGGATGTAAAACACCTCTACACTGAAAACTACAATACTTTGAAAAAGGGGATTGAAGCAGATATCAGAAAATGGAAATATATCCCTTGCTCTTACAGTGAAAATGGCCATACTTCCAAAAATGTTATACAGATTTAATGCAATTCTGATCAAAATTCTCACAGAAGTACAGAAAATAATCCTAAAATTCATTTGGAAACAGAAGACACCTAAAATAACAAGGGCAATTCTGGGCAACAAAGGCAAGGCAGGGGGCATCATAGTCCCAGACTGGAAATTATACTATAAAGCTACTATGATTAAAAAAAAAGCGTGGTACTGGCAAAAATGCAGACCCGAAGATCAATGGAACAGACCCGAGGATCAATGGAACAGACCAAAAGATGCAGAAACAACTCCAGACATATTCAGCCACCTTATATTTGACAAAGGGGCCAAACACATTCACTGGAAGAAAGACAGCCTCTTTAATAAATGCTGTTGGAAAAGCTGGCTCTGCACATTTCGAAAATTAAAATTGGACTCATTCTGTCACCATGCACTACACTAAATTCAAAATGGTTCAAAGATCTAAGTATTAATAGAAACATTACATTTTCTGGAAGATAGAATAGGTAAAACTCTTGAAGACATTGGTATAGGCAAAGACTTTATGAATAAAACCCTGATCACACAGTAATTATGACAAAGAATCAACAACTGGGATGTCATCTTATTAAAAAGCTTTTGCACAGCAAGAGAAACCACCAACAGAGTGAAGAGACAACCCACAATGTGGGAAAAAATGTTTGCCAGATGTTCCTCAGACAAAGGTTTGATATCAAGAACGTATAAAGAACTAAAAAAATCAGACCTCCCAAATTTAAAGATGCAATCCAAAAATGGCCATCAGAGATGAATACATATTTTTCAGGTGAAGGCATACAAACAGCAAATAAATATATGAAAAAATGTCCAACATCAATGGTGATTTGAGAGATGCAAATTAAAACACTGAGATTCCATCTCACTCCAGAAAGAATAGTTATTATCAAGAAATTAACCAATAGCAAATGCTGGAGGGGCTGTGGGGAAACCATTGGTGGGCATGTAGACTGGTACAATCACTGTGGAAATCAGTGTGGAGATTCCTCAAAAAACTAGGATAGGAGATCCCATTTGATCCAGCAATTCCCCTTCTGGGTATCTTCCCAGAAGAATTAAAAACATCATACCACAGTAATATATGTGTACCCATGTTTATAGCGGCACAACTTGTAATAGCTAGATCTTGGAAACAACTCAAATGCTCATCAACCAAGGAATGGATAAAAAAGATGTGGTCTTTATATAATGGAGTATTACTCAGCCATAAAGAAAGATAAACTGGATACTTTTATAGGTAAATGGGTACAACTTGAGTCCATACTCATAAGGGAAGTAAACCAGATGCAAATATGTAAACATGGTATCGTCTCCCTAGTGTGAGAAGCTAAAAGAGTAAATGTGATCCAAAATGTATAATAGATATTATAAAATGGGAAGAAACTTCAAAAGGAATGAGAAACTGGTTTAGGGGAATGGGAAAAAAGAAAGAAGGGAAAAGTAAAAAATATATATGTATATATAAAAGATGGTTATGCTGCTGATTTCTCTCAGTTCATTAAAATGATAGGTTTTATAGGTAAATGGTCACAACTAGAGACCATACTCGTAAGTGAAATAAATCAGACCTGCATGTGTAGGCGTTGCATTGTCTCACTAGTGTAAGACCTGAAAGACTGAATAAAGACTAGGAGGTATGATAGACATTGTGAAATGAAAGGAAAATGTTCAAAAGTAAAGGGCAACTGGGTTTTGGGAAACGAGAAGGGAAAGAAGGGGAAGTTATGTAAGTTTGTATATACAGGATAACTAACATAGTTGTACTACTGTCTTCTATTGCTCTACAGAAAGGAACAGTTAATGATTACTTGTTTGATAAATCTTTTATGTCTCTATTTGTTTTCCTGAGAAACCACTTTGAAGATATCAATACATAATACAACAACCATGGTTAATTTCCTACAACTTTGTAACTGTATTTTGTTTGTATTGTTCTTATGCTATTTTGTAAATGGATGTCTGTTTGTTAATGTTTTCCTTATTTTCTTTTTTAAAATAAAAAAATAAAATGATAGGTTTGTGCTAATATTGCTTGAATATCTGTACTCAAAATGTGTTCATCATTGTTACCCTCCTATCATATTGTTTTGGAATTTTGTTTGTTTTGTTTCTTTAAAGTAAAAATTACAAAAAGGAAAATGTTTCTACGTTGAACAAATGCAGAAAGACTTCGGAAATCATGATATTTCAAATTTATGTGTATTCCATATTAAATAACTCTTGATCCAAAAAAGGAACAGAAATGGTTTAGATTTCATTAGTATACCTTTCCACCACTTTTTTTCCCCCCATTTATTTGAAGTGCTTTTGGTGAATTTTAACCTAATAGCAACAAAACCATAGGCAATATGTGATGAATAAGATGTAGGCCCAGTTTCTATTATCTATTCCAGTAGGCATTCATTAATTCCATTGTACAAATTTATCGTAAAAACATCTGAAATCCTTATTTGATATTTTGGTTTTAGTCTTCCTTTACATGATCAGTTTGTTCTTGTGCGTTTTATTTTGTTTTCGTTATGGGGACTGAACCTAAGACCTTTCCACTGAGCTGCCTTTTTGCCCCCTTTTTGATTTCTTACTTTGAGACACGGTCTTGCCAAATCACTGAATCACCGGGCTGGTCTGGAACTTGTGACCCAGAGTGCTGGGATTACAGACATGTGCCCACATGCTGCGTTTTCTTTCTTTTTTAATGTTCAGTTTTAACACTAGTACATTAGTTTATTCTTAGTTCCTTCTCTTATTATCTGTTCTGTTGTGAAAGTGCTAGGGATGTCTTCTGGGACCCGCGTAAACTGAAAGTGTAAGCTGCTAAAGTTCACGTTGACTTACTTTTAATGTTATTACTTGCGGGCTACATGACT